AATATAATATTGACCTAATCATTCTCTACCCCTGCAGCGCTGGCTTGGAACCTGAAATACCATTGTTATTTATCCCATAATGAGATGTTGACATTTACAGATAAATTGAAGGAAGAGTTTCAACAATAATTCTATGTGAGTACATTGTAATATAAAACAAAATGCTGGATAATAGGCTTTTATCATTGAGTGGCCAGCACTTAATTGAAAAGCATTGTAGACATGCACACACTCACTCTTTTTTTCTGTTTGACAGTAAAAAATAATCATTAAGATAGAAATAAAACAAATTGCTCAAAAATAATCTCTGAATTATTTCTACACCTAAAAATACAGGTCTTTACCCCCATTGTTTTCATCAGCGATAGTTAGGTATTGACCTCAATCAGGTATCATGAACACAAATCTCAGATCTCCTGAACCCAAACGCCACGCTGTCCAAGACAAGGACGTGTCTCCAGACTCGTTCCAAGCTTAACCCATCTCCCCGGCAGAGCATACCAAGGGATAGTCAAAAAGCTCAAACAGTTGTGTGCTTGCTGTGGGGTGGAAGAGATGCAAAAGGCTCTGGCTGTCAGTGGTAACAAGCCTCTTCAGTGTCACTTGAAGTTCAGAAGTGGTGCTTTAGGTGCTTTAGGAAACAGACCAGTCTCACAAGGATGCTGACAAGGAGATTGCAACCAATTGACAAACCTCAGATTCAGGAGGAGCAATGTGGTTTCTGTCCGACAAGAGTTGATCAGCTCTTCATCATTGTACGGAAACTGGACGCCCAGTTTTCATGTGTTTGGTAACTTGAAGAAGGTTTGTATTAGTTTCCCCTGAAGTGTCCTCCTGGAGGAGTATGAGCTACAGATGTGATTTAAGAGCATTCTTGGTGATGATTATGCATTGTCACCACTTATCCATGACTTATCTACTGTATCTACTGTAAATAATTTGTATGTAACATTTGTTTTGTGAGTAGCATAAAGGAAACTATTCTAAATCTTATTTTCAGGGACATAATCTTGAAGAATTTTACATTAGCATTGACATTAACAGTAACATAAGCTGAGGCTGGGGTTCATGTGAGATAAAAGTAGTTCAGTCAGGGAAGATTTCATCTGAGTGAAGGAATAAATTATTGACATTTGATCTAAGAATATGAAAAATGTCAATAGTCTTTGGTGATTAGACCCCATCGTGACATCATGATGGTGTGATGAAGAGAATGCCGAAGATCTGGATGTGATTAGGAGTGGAGCTCAACCTGGGCCTGGATATGATGAACTGGAGGAGAATGGGGTGGAGGAGAGGAGATTTTAAATTTGAGAGTGACCACGTGATTGGCTGATGGAGATCACGGCTTAGTCAACTTGTTAGGGAGAGAATAGGAGAGAGAAAGTTGTTATGAATGAAGCATAACGACAGTCTTAACTTGTGCTGGGCTTCATTTATTTATATGTTTTGTTGGGAAATTGCGAGTTTGATTTTTGTAGCAAAGTGACAGTGGCAGTTGCACCGTTTAATTTCATTTCCTTCTTTGTTTCAAATTGCAAATATTGATGGGATTTTTCATAAAATCCTGTTGTAAACCAATGCAAGAGCTGTGTTTTCATGCCAGCAGAAATTTAACAGCATTTTTGGTGAAGATTGTGCTCTCTGATTTATCTACTGTATCTAATTTATGTATATAACATTTTTTTATGAGTAAGGAACTACAACTTAATCTCATTATACAACCCTATGTTCTAAAATGGTTTTTAAAAAATCTACATTGTACCTTGAATAGTGTTGCACTTGGCTGTTCACATGAAAACAATAATAGTTGTGTCAAGTATGAAAACAAGAGTTAGAGAGAGAAGTTCAACCCCTGGCTTCTTTCTCACCTCCCACCGTGAAATTGGTGTGAATGCCAGCCTGTCTGCTTCACAAAGTTAGGTGTGAGGGACAGGGGTATCTGAAGCTACTCAACCATCTGACAAGCAGTTCATGGAATATCCTGGCCCCTTTAGGATTGCACCTCTTCTCTTCATTGAGTATGTAGTCCTGTAGGCTTTATGAGGCATCCAGCAGTCCTTGAGGTGCTTTGCAGTTTAGTTTAAAATGACAGGAGGGAGGGCCGGCCACCCGAGCTTGGTAGAGGACAGTGCCTCTTTAATTTATTGTTTAAGATTGATTTTATTTAAACTGAATTAAAGGGGCACTCCACTAATTTGACACATGTTCAGTTGACGACGATTTATAATGTCATCAGTGTTATCCCAGTTTTGGCTGATTTTTAACACAAAGCCTGCAATAAAGATCGGAGGTATGTGGTTTGAACAAAGTAGACATTTAGGAGGCAGGGGAATTTAATGAAAGAGCATTATGGGAAATCTAGGACCCAGCGTGACCCATAATAGGGACTAAAAACAGGATATTGCAGGCACTGATAGTTATTTTAATTTGAGTCCTCTAACTGAATGAATGTGCAATACTAAATTGCTGGAGATCCCTTCTAAATTTGTAGTGTTTAAAATGTGATCATTGGCGGTGTACTTGATACTTTACATAAACTATTTGTCTAAGTGCAGTGTGCTGGAGAGAGCTTGGCTAGTGAGTAGGTAGGGAAAGCAAATACCCCAAAAGAGCAATTTTAACAGTAACGTATGAGTACACTTTATATACTTATACTACTTCCTTCCTGGTTTTATTAGTTTGGAGGTTGAAAACACTGGAAAGACTGAGAACACTGTTGTATATTACAGATTCAACTGAAGCTTTATTCTGTACACTTTTAACACCAAATATGAGAATCAGGAAAAACATTCCCTGAAAAAAAAACTAAAGCGTACTCTGCCTGCTTTGCTGTTAATTGAGGTGTTGTATAATGTTGGAGGTGATGGAGTAAAGACAGAAATATGCACTCTGCTAAATGCTGACAGTTGAAAATGGTCCATCTGTCCATCTTTGAATACCAAAAACGGCCTTTCAGTAAAATATATGGCAGTTTCTGTGATCACTCTGATGTTCAGCACATTGAAGGGGTTGATGGCCATCAGACAGCTCTGACTTCAAACAGGCTTATTCAAGGTTGGTTACCAGCTTCAAGTGTTCTTTTTTTAGAGTTATTGAAGGATTTTTTTTGTCATACTTTGAGGGGAGGTCTTAAAGTCATCTTTACACTCATGACTTGTTCTTCTGAGATTAAAACTCTGATATAAGCAGAAGGTTGTTGTAGTGACTACACAGGTCCAATGATAAAAATGTAGCTTGTCTTATCTGTCTATGCAACATTATAACAGCTCCTATTAATATTCCAGCTACTCCAAGAAACAAAACTTGAATTTCCCACATGCTTTGAGCTGAAAAAGATTTGATTTGAAGATATGAACTTGACCCTTATTTGATGTGCCAGTAGTTTCAGACAAAGATGGTTTACATGTTTATTAAAAAGGACGTGGCCCTTGGTGTATGACCTCAGCTCCTGCTATTGATTCTCAAAAGACAAAAACCTTTAGAATCCATTTTGCTATCAGTAGTGGTGCACTTAAAGCTACACTCCACTGCTCTTAATGCCAACAAGAGAGAACTGTTGAAAATATCTGATATTAATATCCAGCTTTCACTCAATAAAGCATTGAGTCACTACTGTTTAAGTGGCAGTCTGAATATTGGATCCTTTGCTGACTATGGGCAAAGTAAAGATGCCACATATACAGAATAGGGACTCCTCTCGGACAGAAGACTAAATTGTAGTAGTTGTGTAAAAATGTTTGAATAAATGGACAGAAAAATGAAACAGAAAGGTCCTTTCAGTTAATCATTGTTGAAACAGAGATTCAAAGACATTTCTTAATAGCTGTAGTGTATTTTTTATGTGGGATGAGCTAGCTATTGCTTTAACAGAAAATTGCTAGTTTGATCATTTGTGATGACCATTATATTACTTAGCAAGCCACAGTGGCATTGAAGTACTATTTCATTTCATTATTATTCATTATTTGTAGCAAAATGCAAATCATGATTGGATTTTGTAACATAATTAATTCATGGGTAAATGGTGCATGTTTTGATCTTTTGATCTGATTCGAATGTTTGTCCACAGAACATGACTTGTATTTGTTTGTGTCGTGTGTGTCAGGTGTACATTATCAGCAAAGATGCGGTAGTGAAATACACATGGTGTTAAAATTTTATATTTTATGCAACATTTACATATTTTAGTAGTATTTAATATGTATGTATATATTGAATTTGGTAAGATGAGTGACAACAGATGAAACAGCCAAATTTCAATTTCAGGTTTAATCAATTTGGCTTGTTATCTCTAAATAGATAAAGTTTAAACAATCCTTTAACCTCTGTCTAAAAACAGCTCATTTGTAGTTCAGCCGTTTCGCTTTCATCCCTTTAACGTCGCAGGGATGAAAGCAAAATGCGCGTCATATAATGCTATGAAGCGGCTAGTCCGACACGCCCTCAAAAACACCGGTGAACACACTAGCTACCCTCCAGGCAATCAATGGACATAAAGTTGTTACTGTGATGTAGAGACAGAGCTCAGTTAAAACTTTATGGATGAAAGATACTTTGGTTACAGATTAATAACTCACGACTCTGAAACTCTTGCTCCAGTCTATGTTGATAAGCTGGTAAGGGGAACATGTACAGCTGAACCGAAACCGTGTTTACTGGCTTCTCACGACCTGCTTCTGATTGGCTAGTAGTCCTTAACTAGGAACTGCGCATGTGCAACTCCCAACAAAGATCATGTAGAGGCAAGATGTATCACTCCATAGCTAAAATGAAGCCTTCAACAACCGGGTGAAAAGAGGAGCTGCAGCGATGTGCAGTATGATAAAAATATGGTGTTTTTTTGAAAATGAAACCATGTAAACCTGTTTTGGTACAACCCCCAAATAAGATTATGAACCTGAAAATGAGCATAATACCATCTCTTTAAGTTATTTAAATTATTATTTACTTGCTTACATGACCATCTTTACTGTGATGTTCTTTTTTTCTCCCAACAGCTACACTCAGATGTGGACAAAGGAGATGGCAAGGTGAAGTATGTGTTGTCTGGCGAGGGCGCTACCTCCATCTTCACCATTGATGAGAACACAGGTGACATCCATGCCACGAAACGCCTTGATCGGGAGGCACAACCCTACTATACCCTCCAAGCTCAAGCTGTAGACCGACTCACCAATTTACCCGTAGAGCCCAGGTCTGAATTTGTGGTCAAGGTCCAGGACATCAATGATAATGAGCCAAAGTTTCTTGATGGACCATATATGGCAGGGGTACCAGAGATGTCACCCCTAGGTAAGCCTTTGTTTTAAATATCATCCCATACCAGTTCCCCCCTTTTTCTTACATTTTCTATTCTTTTCGACTCGCTCTCACACTCTCACTTTCTCTTTGACTTGCCCTCTCTCCAACATCTGCATTTGATAATTTTCCACCTCACTGAATTTGTCTTGATCTCTCTCAGTATTTAAGGTCATGGGGGGGAATCGGGAATTTTGCAATATTAATTTGAATCCAGCACATTTGCTTTGTAAGACTCAATGTGTTCATCACATTGGGCCCAATTTAAAGTGAATGAAGCTCTACTACATGGGCTCCACATCAGTGGTAGTCCAAGTTAAACTACTTGGATTTGGACATCCCTTAGCCAGAGTGTACAGGTTAATTGGCTTCTTTTTTCCTTTTCACTAATATTTTACTGTGCTAATAAATTAGACCAGGGACCTTTCTCCTCTTGAGGTCTGTTCGATTCAGTTTTTGAAATCAATATGATGTAGACAGACTGAACTATCAGGACGCCCGTAGAACTTTGGACATGGCAAGGCAATTCATTTATGAGGCACATTTACAAATTCAAAGTCCTTCACAAAAGACATTGACAGTAAAATAACAGAATGAAAAAACAAATTAAGAATCAGAAAAGACTAAAAGATGAAATGAAGAAACATCTGTGAGTGATCGAAGCAGCCAAAATCTAATTGCTAGCAATGTTTTTAGCCTTGATTTAAAAATCTTTTGAAAGTTTATGTTCCAGATATGTACAGAGCAGTAGCTGAAAGCAGCGTCTCCATGTTGTATTTTCAAATAAATACTAATAAGACAATTGCCAGATGACCTGACAGGTCTGTAGGGGTTCACATTGTGGGTGGGAATCAGAAAAATATATGCCTTAAAACATTAAAGTTGGGGTAGGCAATGCATGTTTTGTTTCAAACATTATACAGCTGTAGTTGTTGTAAGGTCTCAGTATTTCATATTCCGTTGACCACTTTAACATTTATAACTGCAGATATTTCTTTTATCTGTTTGGTTTAAATATGGTCCTGGAGGAAGCCATCATATCAGACCCTGTCTTTAAGTGGCTGCTTCTTGCCGCATGGTCAAGATTTCCTCCAAGGTTCTGAACGGGTCACGCTCAAACTCAAAATGCGAGTAAATGCAAATGAGCCACAACAACATCCTGAGGCTTTTCAACTCAGCAAGTGCATGAGAAACACAGCTGGAGCGAGAGAGAGAGTAGCTTTTGTTTTTTTTCTTTCTTAGTATGATCGTTCCAGTTTAACAATAATGCTGCTAAAATTCTTCATTTTGGTCAACAACAAGAAATGGGTGGTGTTGAGCAAAAAATGCTCTCAATTTGCTATTTTCTGGTGTTTTTAAACCCGACTAAGTGTATTGTAATGTGAAGTCTAGTTGTGCCTTAATTTCCATATTTATCACCCTGCATATGCCAGCACAGACCTCTAGGCTTAAAAATGTTGATGAGTGATGCAAAACTGACTTAAGCAAATTTAAGGTCTGAATCAGGCTTGATGGCCACAGGCATGTTTTCCACAAATTGGGCTCAGAGTTCATACTAGCCAGTACTTACAGTTACCTCTCTCGCTGATGTCTGAAAAATGTCTGATCCAGACAAATACATTTCCATCCATCCATTAAACAGGGCAGCACAGGCATCCTTAACATCCTCCAGCTCCTTCTAGGGGTTCCCAAGGCCCTCCCAGGCATGCTGGGAGCTGTGGTCTAATCACAAGTGAGCTATGACAGAAATGAATTTGGGTGCCAACTGACAGAAAAGGGTGATATTGATTTAAAAAACACAAAGTTTGAGATCATTTTCTTCCCAGAGATTGTGTGTATGATAAATTACATTTATTTTCTCTTGAGGTGATCCTCTTGTTGATTTTTAATAATAGACATGTATTTATTATCAACATCTCATTCTAGATGTTTGTTACTGAACTTGTACATAAACAGACATTGATTTGTTTGGCACTTCAATCTGCCGTCTGAATAATAATTCAGTATCAGAATAGGACCTTGTAATCAGTCCTCTCACAGTGCTGAAAAGATTAGAGGCTGAAGTAGACTAGTTACTCAATTTATATAAAATTAGGTACACAATCAACAATCAGTCTTTGGTTTCATCAAGAATTTATAAAAGTTTACATACAGTGCAATATAAAAAGTTATACTGAGAGTGTGCGGCAGACAATAGTAGTGTTGAATGATGCTGAAGGGAACGTGTTAGTGCATGCATTAAACAACGTTAGGTGGGGTAGTAAGCTCTGGATTTGAAGAGGGAGTGTTTAAACCATTGGTTCTTCAACTTTTTCTGTGACGCACCCCTTCCGAAGACAATAAAAGGTAATGTCCCCCCCACACCAGTAAAAATGGATTTCTATGATGATTTTTATCAATCATTAACAATATAGGTGGCTGATTCAGATTCTTGGTAGCACTTTTGGTTGTATATGTCACCAATATGATTCCTATTAATGCAAGTTTAGGTGAGCTCAACATCCACGACAGCTCCGCTATGTTCACCAGCTAGTCTCTTACTGTGTCTGTCTGCGGTTTGGTGCTGGAAAGGTAGCGTACAGTGGCTTTTAAGATATTTTCTGCTGAAAATAGCTGCCTGCTGCAGCTGGAAACAATCCTTTTTGACTGGTGAGAGTGAAGCAAGACATTACAGTTGCGCACCAGAAAACCAAAACAATTAGCTGAAAGATGTGACAATGCTCGGTAGCACTGAGGGGAACTGCACAATGGATTATAGACACTTTTTTACCAGCCTGGTAAATGAAAGCACTCTGCAAGCTTCCTCATTCCAATAAACGCTAAGAACTGAAAAAGCTCATTGTGCGTATCAGCTCAACACCTCCAACATGCATGGCAACATACAGATGGAAATGAGTGAAAACAAAGGTGTTTTTTAGAACCTTCAAAGTCAAACTGGAAATTTCCGCCAGCATACAACGGCAGTGGGAGTCATTCCAAGGGAGGCAATGCTTTGCTTACTACACAGGCACGGAGATCTCTGAAGGATTACACAGCCGACTGTCAACGGGGGGTACTGAGCTCAGGCTTAAGGAACCGGAGGATTAGAGTACAAGGGCTTGGAGTCTCATGTCCAACCCGAGATAAGACAGCAACTTGGTACATCAACCACAGAGGAGGATGCGTTCACACCAAAAGCGCTGAGAAGCGGGGTCAACCTCGCCACTTTATTTACTCTGCCAGTTCCTTTGAAGGTCTTCATCACAAGTTGAGAGAACAGCAGGAGAATAATACATTACCTCTCTTTGTAAATATATGCTCAAAGCAATTATCAGTGCAGTAAAGAACAGGGAAGGGCCAAGCACCTCTTGTCCTCAATAATTCCTTTATAGATGTCTTTAAATCATTAATGGTCACAGATCTGCACTGCTGATGAATGGGTTCAATTTAGAGGAAATCATGAATTTAATTAATTAAAGTAATTAGAGGCAGTGCCCGTCCATACACATGGAGACCTTATGGCCCGAGGATCTCTGAAAGCTTTTGTCTTAATCACGACAGGGATGTCAAATAAAAGACAGGAGAGCTTGGGGACAGGAGGTGTGACAATCGCGAGGCTTGGCTCTCTCCCGCTGCATAGCGAAGAGACCAAAGGAGCAGTTTGAGGGCTCATTACAAGCATAGAGAATGTAATGTCAACCCAAGGCCACAGCTCTTGAATTTACTACTCACCAGTCCTATATCCAGCTGTCATTGTTCCTGTCTAATTCATGAGAGCGGAGATCAAGGATGGGATAGTCACTTAATTCTGGAAATAAAAAAAGGTGTTCTGGTTTAAGGAGAGCCAATCCAAATGATTGTTTTTGATCACAGTTGGGTGTCTTGTTGATCCCTCTTTGCATTGTGGGTTATACATACACACTCATGGGGCCACTTCTAATGCCATACAATAAAACAGCTCTGCCATAGCGTCTATCTTTAAGCTCATAGTTGGTGACATTGTCTGAAATGTGTAAATTAAATTATGTGTTTAATAATGAGGTAGTGGTTAATGTCACAGTGGGCTTCATTATACTGAGATGTGTTTCTAACTTTTTGTCACTTTCTATTTACATAAATGAGATCAGCAGAATATTTTAATACAATTCGGTCCATTACTAAATTATTACTAACTAACCTCAGTGCTAAAACATATTATTTAATTAACACCTCTATGAACATTATAGGCAGCATAAAAGCAGGCTTTATTGCAGAACAGTTGTGTTCTGATACTGCACAAATAGAAAACAGCCGGCAGTAATAACTTTCTTTAAAAGTGCTATAATTCATTTTCACTTGGCAATTGCAAATAAATGTGAATTGAAATCTAAGTAATAATCCCCGCTTATCTGAAACAGTGGGGAGCAGGTGTGAACGTGCATGACTATAATCAACTTAATCAACAGTGGCAGCTTTGAATACTCATGAAGGAACTGCTAAAATCACCGGGCTTAAACTGAATTTTTTTAAAATTATTAATGTGTTTTTTTAAATACTATTTTTAGTCACAGATTTGGTTCCAAATGTGCATTTCTACATGCAGTGAATGGCCTTTTATCGGAAAACATATACGGTTTGTATTAATATAAAAAAGTTCTTTGTCACATTCTGGGTCACATTCCTCAAAACAAACAAATTTGTATTGCAAGTGTGCACTTGGAAATGCATATTGTTCTTGACAGTTAGATGCAGTCTGTATATGCAAGTGGCTGAAGAATACCTGTCTCCCATTCAGATAAAGCATGCCACATTTATTTTCATTACTGGCAGATGACAGTTGTTCACCCAAGATGCGGAATTGATTAGGAAACCTGTTTTGCTGCGGGGGGGAATAAATAAAAACTGTGAAGATCGGATCCATCACATCAATGAAGATGGACAAATATTGAAGGGACACAGACAGAGCAAATTGAGTAGCAGATGACAGCCTTGTGGAGCAGAAAGAATCTATTCCGGGTGTGTTTTTTTGTTTTTGT